CCTCCCCCAGCCTCTTTGCCGCCCACTCACCCGGCCCCCAGCACACGTAGGCCGTGACGCGGCTGGCGCCCGCCCGCCGCACGGCGTCCGCGGCCAAGTGCGCCGCCCTCCGGTGTCGCGACAGCCCGCGGTCGGCCGCGGCCGCGGTCCAGGCCAGCAGCGGCAGCAGCAGCGCCGCGGAGAGGCCCTACAGGGCAGCGTCCAGAGCGTGGTAGAGCCAACAACTGCTAACGAGCGGGTTGTTTACACGGCGCTCCCGGGCACACTCACACGCGTGCTCACCTTCATGGCCAGCCAAGCGCGGCGCTCATCGGCGGGGCGCGGCGGCGCGCCGGGCTGCGCGGACGGCTTTGATCCCTTCTGCTCCGCTCATAAGCCGGTTGTGGCCGGCAGGGAAGTAGTGGACTGGACTGGGCTGGGACTCGGACCGCGGCCCGCTTCGCCGACCGGCCCCCGCCCGCCCCACCCGCGCGGTCGCGGAAGAGCTGGCGTGTGGGCCGCGACCGGCTATCGACGAGCTGCTCGACTGGCGGCGCCTGCCTCACACGACCCCTCCGTCCACCCCTCCCTGTCGGCGACGCCACCGAATCCGGAAGGGGGACGTCCCCTAGGGCGTACGCCTGAAACAACAAGAAGATAACAACGGAATACGGTTCGGGCTTAAGCAGGCCGCCCGAGGAGCGTGGCCGCGACAAAAACGGCCTAATGAAAGGCGAGGCTGGGGGCGGTAGTATTGCAGAGACCATTCTGCAAATGTGTGGGCGTGCCGGCGGGCGTGACCGCTGCAAAGAGGCCTATTGCTGGCGTGTCGCTGCGGCGTGGCCGTTGTGTCCCTCCCCCTGCCCACTCCCCGGATGTGCCTTCTCGTTTCTATTTCGAAGCCCCGAGAAATATTTCAGCTGGGGAACACGCCATTTTCTCCCGTTTTTATGTCCCTCGCTTCCTCCCCCGCCCCCTCCGCGCGGCACCCCCTCCGACCCCCGCCAGAACGCGCTGTAGGTATCCGGACACAGGAAAGCCACAAATGCCATGTGGGGCCAGTTTAGTGCGGCGTCCGTCCCTGCCGGGGCGTGGCGGGGCGGGGCGGGGCGGGGCGCGTTCGAGTCGTACGTCCAGCCGGGCCTGCCAGCCCCAGGCTGGCCAATCACCCTCCCCTTCTCTTTCCCCCCTCCCTCCCTCCCTCCCGCATCCCCCGCTGAGGCCGTGCCGACCGAATGCACACGTCGCCGCCAGGTGGAAATTCCAGCTGAACGGTCGACGCCAAAAGATTCCCGCGCCGATCATCTTTGGCCGAGCGCGCGGCAGGTGCGAGGCGGGCGGGAGCGGGGCGCGAGAGCGGGGGGCGGGACGGGGCGCACGCGAATGTCGCTGAATCTGATATGACACGCGCGTGCGAGAGAGCTGAGTGAGAGAAGACAACGTTCCGCAAGAATCTCGACAAAGTTTGCCCCCCATTCTTACAGAAAAATGAATAATGGTGGAAACCATCTTTTTACCAGGAGAAACCCGGAAAAACGAAGGTGCTATTGAATGCCTTTTAAGAGAAGTAAGACTATTTACAAGGGCGCAACTGGCATCCACAGGTGATATTTTAGTGCTCGTACAAATTACATGCATAGGTTCTACTGCAGTAGAACTTTTGAAAGGTGTTGTATAGCACATTTGTTCTTCCAGTCTGGTTACTTCCGGGGCCTCCATAAAATTTCGTTGAGGCGTCAACAGCGCAGTAATACCGACCAAAAATGTGGTTGTCATCACTGGCGAGTCGTTCACTGTGGCGAAATCGCAACGATAAACTCAGTACTCATTTCTTAAATAACGTGAAATCCGTTGGTGCCATCAAAAAATTAATCTGAGCGCACGCTAAGATTATATTCCACAAAAACTAAAATACGCGCCGCGTCATATCATCGAGCGATATCATCCGCGCCAGCTGAGCCTAGCTGGATCCAAGGCGCGTTTAAGGCCTGAGTCACACATCGCTGGAGCTATCTGCAGAGGGCGGGAAAGCAGTTCCGAGAAACTCGACAACTCACTGGGTAACCAGTGCACGCCGGATGCTTCGATAACACTGCCATTCAAACACAGTGACGTCAGATTAAAACGCACTCACGTCACATTTGGTGAGAATTGTTACATGAAATACTTTATACTGTTCAAGGTTCGTTACTACTTCTCATGATTAAGCAGGATAAAGGATGAGCAAGTATGGCCATTATGGACGGAACCACTTTAATCACAGCTCATACATACACTCATACAACATATTCTATGAAAAGCGACACAATCGTCCCCACACATGACTGGTGGCCAAACGTCAACAGCACTCTCTTTCTATATGGGATATCGCTTTAAAAAAAAATGCCGCTTACCTCTCTTCCTCTTTCCCGCGTGTCGTCTGCCGCCTGGCGTGACAGCAGCCGCTCTCGTATGCAGGCCAGCCAGTCGTCCCCCCACCCCTTTCGCATCAGCCCCACCACCCCTCCGTGCTATTTACGCAGGCCGCGCTTGGCGGCGGCGTGCGGCATCCCGTGTGGCATTGTGGCGAGGCTCCGGCCGGCGCCCTGCCGCGCGCTGACCGGGGGCTTACAGTTAGCCCTGCGGTTGACCGCCCTGCCCCGCCCCGCGCGTCTCCCCACCCCGCCCCGCATGACTTGGAGTGTCTGGTCCGTGTTGCGTTTCGATCAGCTCCGCAACGGGGGGCGGCGCTCTCCTTTCTTCCCCCCCCCTTTCCCCGCTTCTCTGGGTCACTCATCTCGTGTTGATTTTACGGCACAACTTTAATTCCTTGCCGCTTCCCTGCCGCTGGGCCCGGCCAACGCTACGCCACGCCAGGATAGCAGCCTGCCTCAGCGGCGCCCCACCACGCCCCGCCCCGCCAC